TAGACATGTTAATAATAATGATAATGATGATATTTATGACATTGAAATAATGATGATAATCATCATAATTACCATTAGCATTAGTATTATCGTCACTATCTTTACTATCATTGTCATTATCATCATCAATAATGAGTATAATAATGGCAGCGATTAAAAATTGAAAAAAAATGCTATTACCAAGCAATGAATTTGCATTAACGATGGAATAGACATGCATTCTCATTACGACAAACATTTACTAAACATGTAAACTGAAATCAAAACTAATATAATCGGATATACGTGTTCGACGAAGAATTTTTTAATGAATTTAAAATAAAAAACACGATACTGACGGATAAAAAAAAAAAATAAATATAAAAAATAAAAATAGATAAATAAATAAACGCATTACTAAACATGTAAACTGAAATCAAAACTAATATAATCGGATATACGTGTTCGACTGAAGAGATGGGTTTTTTTATGAATTTAAAATAAAAAACACGAATACTGACGGACAAAAAATAATAAATATAAAAAATAAAAATAGATAAATAAATAAACGTAAATACTGAGGGACTAAGCTGAGGATTTAAGGAATTAGTCAATCTTTATTTTCCTTAATATTGGAGAGAGGGAAGGGGGGGGGGAGAAAAGAGACAGATGGAAAGAGAGGATGAGGGGTAAGAGGAGAGGGAGAGAAGAGGGGAGAAAGGGAGAGGAACTGAAGAACGAGGGAATAGGGGGGACAGGAGAGAGGCAAAGGGAGAGGAGATGAGGGGAATAGGGAAGACGGAAGAGGGACAAAGAGAGAAAGGATTTGAGGGAAACAGGGAGAGAGGAAAGGGAGTAGAGAAAGGAGAAGGCAGTGGATAAGGTAGACGGAAGACGAAGAGAAGGGGAGAGAGGGAGAGAGAGAAGGAAGACGTAAGGAAAAGGCGAGAGAGCAAAATAGAAGATCAGGAAATAGAGAAAGAAGACAAAGAGAAAAGGGAAAGGAGAGAGGGAAAAAAAAGATACAGGATACAGAAAGAAAGAAAAATAGAACAGGGAACAGAGGAGAAGGGAGAAAGAAGGGAGACAAAAAGAGGATACGTATAGTGGGGGATGATGTAATTACAATATTCCAGTATATGTGGAAAGGCATGAATGAGAACAAATATCTTCACAATACAAGAGATGTATTTTACCGGTTTCGATTATATATTCGTCAGAAATACATGGATATAATCGAAACCGGTAAAATACATCTCTTGTATTGTGAAGATATTCGTTCTCATTCATAACTTTCCACATCTGTCAACATGAATACGGTTCATTCCAGTATATATTAGAAAGGAATATATACATGCCTTTCAAGAGTAAGCACAATATAAATCGTATAATCATACTGATAGAGATAGATAAACATACATAGGAATTAAACAAACATTCAGTTACGCTGAAGTTCTTTAATCAATCTGAGTACATATCTTGCTTTTAAACATACATACAACAGGAGAGCAGTAATGAGATTAAAAGGAAAAAAAAAAGTTTGTGGGCATTTGGGAGCTGCATTTTATAACTAGATTTATTAGATGTTATGTAATTAATTATCTTATAAGTAGATAATGTGTTAATTCATAAAGAAATGTTTAATAAATAAATGTAAATGTCTTATATGTACATTTTACAAGCGTATATTTCACAAGTAAATAATTCACAGGTAAATATTTCATGTTTTATAGTCAAATATATTACAAGACCTTATGACTGATTACCTGTTATTGAGTTTTCTTGGAAATTCTCCCATTTCTATTCTCTGATTCTCTAGGAAAATTGATTCTGAGAAGATGCTGCTTATAAGATTTCTTTCTTATTTTCATTCTGCTTGACTAAAGAAATAGAGCCTTTTTTTTTTTTTTTTTTTTTTTTTTTTGAATGAGCGTGGGATGAACGAGCGAAGGTAGGGAGAGGAGGAGGAGGAGGAGGAGGAGGAGGAGGAGGAGGAGAGGAGGAGGAGGAGAGGAGGAGGAGGAGGAGGAGGAGGAGGAGGAGGAGGAGATGGAAGGGGAGATGGAAAAGACTGGAAGAGGAGGCGAGAGGAAAGGGACAGAGGAGGAGAGAAACGAGGTGAAGAGAGAAGAAAAATAGAGGACAGGGAGAAAGGGGAGGAAAGGAGAGGAAAGGAACAGAAAGAGAGAACAGAAGAGAGAAAAAATGGGGAAAGGGTGGAGATAGGAAATAAAAGGGAGAAGGGAAAGTAGAGGAGAAAGAGAGAAAGAGCAACAAAGATGGAAAAGGAAGAGGAAAAACGAGAAAGAGAGCGCACAAAGCACACGGAGCGAGAGAAAGGGTGAATGATGAAAGGAAGAAAAAAATAGTAGAGAGAAAAAAAGGAAAGATGGGCTGGTGAAGAATGAAGAATTAGAAAGACGAAGAAGGGAAGAAGAAAAAACAAAGAAGGGGGAGAAAGGAAGTTGAAGAGGAAAGCAGAAGAAGAAAAGGATAGAGAAACAGGAGAGAGGGAAAAAATAAGAAAATACAAAGAGACCAGAAGAATGAAGAGAAGAAAGAGAGGAGACAAGGCACACTATTAACACCTACACACACCCAAGGAAGAAACAAGGGACTTTCGACTTTCGGTGGAGGAGAAATAAGAATCATAATACGCTTAGCGATACACCACACGGCGCAAATGGGAGAAGCTTTCCCGAACAGAAGAGAATAAGAAATGTGATAAAAAAGAAGAAAAAAAAGAAATAGAGAAGTATATACGAAGGATAATGAGTTTTAAAAAATAGATAACGATATAAGTAACATAAGATAAAATAAACCAGCTTTCCTGAAACAATTAAGGCGAGAGAATTATAATAATTATAAAAATCGATAGATACAAATAGATGAAAATAGATTAAAAAAAATATAGAGATAAAATGAAAAAAGAATTGTTTTCCCGGATTGTATTTAAAATGAATATAATAAGAATTATGATAAGAGATAGATGAATAAAATGAAAATGAAAACAAATCATTCCTTATGAGATTTCCACGGGCGGTATAAGAAACAGGATTCTGAGAATGATAATACACAAGAGAAACAGAACAAGAATAGATAGCCCTTTCTTCCCCCAAAGAAAGATACTGATGGTGATAGGAAAGAGGATGATGGTGGTGATAACAATAATGATAATAACAATAATGATGATGATGATAATAATAACGATGATGATAATGATAATGATAATAATAATAACAATAATAATAATGATGATAATAATATGATAATAATAATAATGATGATGATAATAAGGACAATAATAACAATAACAATAGAGGTAATAGTCATAATACCAATAAAAATAACAGCAATAACCATCCTAAGCAAAGAACAAAAATAACAGTTATCATCCTAATCACAAAACGAAGAAAAATATGTTTTTAACGAGATTTGATGAGAACCAAATATAATCAACGGAAACCCCCTAGTCTCTTATATACCGTTTATCTAATTTAGAAATAATTACATTGTATACAAAAGATGTTTAATTCGACTCTTTAAGGTAGATGAAGCCACAATCTACCCTGTCCTCTCCCTACCCCCCTCCTTCCCCCACTTCTCTTCCTTCCCCTCTCCTCCTTCCCCCCTTCCCTTCCCTTCCCTCCCTACACCCACTTCCCTTCCCTCTCCCTACCCCCTCCCCTTCCCCCCTTCCCCACTTCCCCTCCCCTTCCCCCCTCCCCCCATCATTTTCTTACTTCTTTCCGCACAATAATTATCGAAGAAATTTAATACAAGACTGCGATAATTTATTCGGAAGCTCAGTTAATAATTTACTGTGTAACTGTGATGAGAATGATGTTGTTTTGCTCCCGCTTCTTGTTGTTGCTGTTGTTGTTTTTCTTTTTTTCTTTTTTTGCTTGTTTTCCGTTTAGCTTTATTTTCTTTTCTTTTTTTCTTCTTCCTTTTTCTTTTTTCTTTTACAGACTTTTGGAAACGGGTGTGTGAGCATGCGCTGGCCAGAGCTCCTACCTCTCTCTATTTCTCTTCTCTCTCTTCTCTTCTCTCTCTCTCTCTCTCTCTCTCTCTCTTCTCTCTCTCTCTCTCTCTCTCTCTCTCTCTCTCTCTCTCTCTCTCTCTCTCTCTCTCTCATTCTTATCATTATCATGTTTTTCTCTCTCTATTTTTTAATTTCTTCTTTCCTTTATTACCTTTGTTAACCTGTTTTTCTTTGTCCTCTCTCCCTTTGCCCTTCCTTTCCCCATCCACATCTTCCCTCTTCTTCTCTGTCTCTCACTCTTTCCATTAATGCTCTCCTCTTCTCTTCCCTCTCGCTCCCCCTTCCATCCACACTTCCATTCCCAATCTCTCCCTTCTCACCCTCGTTTCTTTTCCACTTTCCTCTTTCTGTCTCCCTTCTTCTCTCTCTCTCTCTCTCTCTCTCTCTCTCTCTCTCTCTCTCTCTCTCTCTCTCTCTCTCTTCTCTCTCTCTTTCTTTCTTCTCTCTCCTCTCTCTCTCTCTCTCTCTCTCTCTCTCTCTCTCTCTCTCTCTCTCTCTCCTCTCTCTCTCTCTCTCTCTTTCTCTCTCTCTCTCTTTCTCTCTCTCTCTCTTTCTCTCTCTCTCTCTCTCTCTCTCTCTCTCTCTCTCTCCTCTCTCTCTCTCTCTCTCTCTCTCTCTCTCTCTCTCTCTCTCTCTCTCTCTCTCTCTCTCTCTTCTCTCTGCTCCCCCACTCTTTCTCTCTCCCTCCTCTCTCTCTCGCCTCCTCCTCTCTCCCCCCTCCTTCCCTCGTCCTCCCCCCCCTCCTCCCTCGCCTCCCCTCCCCGCCCCCCCTCCCTCCCCACCCCAACACGAGCGGCTTTGCCTCACCTTCTTCTGCCCGGAAACGAGCGAGCGAAAACGAAGGGGAAAATGATCGATGGAATACGACATCTGGCAAAAGCGCCTCGCAACAGATAGGAAATAATTGCAACAACAACAACAACAACAACAACAAACAAAAGGAGAGATGGAATATATATAAAAAAAAGGAAAAATATCGAAGAGGGAAAATATTGCGCGTTTGCTAATGAAACACCGGGCAGAAGGGGTTTATTCTGAGTCTTTTCCTTCGGTATAGAAAGAAATTCGGTTCATTAACCTCTGAGCGAAAACGGGGGGAGAGCACTTAGCGAACGCCGATTTTTTTCCCACTCTCGTCCTATAAGGTTGCAGAAGCTCTGTATCTTATGGGAATTTAATTTCGATTTTTTTTTTTTGTTGTTGTTTGTATTGCTTGTTGTTTGGTTTTTTATTTTTTTTGTTTGGTTTGGATGATGGCGAGAGATGATTGAATTTCTGAATTTGTTACATTACGTGTTATTTCTTTCCTATACATTATTTAATGTTTTAGTTTTTTTTCCTTCTTTCTTTGGAGCAAATATGACACACACCGAACACTCAATATATTAATAAAAAAAACACCAAAGCACACCAAATCTATTCCCAAAAAGACACCTACAAAAAAAACTGCAAACACACACATCTTTAGAAAAATGAAAACAAACAAAACGCAAAGAAAAAAAAAAAAAAAACTTACCTTTTATCGTCTTCCTCGGGGCTGGAATGCACGTCCTTCTCTTCCCTGTGTCCGTTCTTCCTCGTGTGTCTACCTTCTTCCTTCATTTATCGGTTCCTCGCCACTTCTCAGTCTACCCTGGGTACCGTAACTCACTAGCAATGAGTAAAAGCCCATGAAAATAGGAAAAAGTCACTCGCAATCACACAATTCCGAAACGTCACCACCAACTCATTAATATCGAATGTTTATTGTGTAATTTATCGACTGATTTAGATTGGGATATTTCTTTTTATATAGATTGATTTATTTTCTTTTAGGACGATGATTTTAATTCCTTTTTTTCCCTCTCTCGCTGGTCACAACGTAAGAGAAAGGAGTTTGTATTTTCTCTCCTCTCTGAAGGCAGGGAGAAAGGAGAATCTCACGTCACTATTTTGAGGTTTCTTCGGTTATGTGGATTTTTATTTTTATTTTTGGGTTATTGTGAGTTATGGTCAACTGGCCATACTCCCTTGAAAGAAGGAGAACATTTAGAGGTGGAACAATGAACACAAACATCGGAAAACATATTTGTTCGGGAAGGATACATTTGGCAACACAGAAATACACTGCACACTCTTTTTTCCAACAATCCGTGATAACGATAGATGTTGTGACTGCTCTCTCTCTCTCTCTCTGCTCTCTCTCTCTCTCTCTCTCTCTTCTCTCTCTCTCTCTCTCTCTCTCTCTCTCTCTCTCTCTCTCTCTCTCTCTTCTCTCTCTTTCGCTCTCTCTCTCTCTCTCTCTCTCTCTCTCTCTCTCTCTCTCTCTCTCTCTCTCTCTCTCTCTCTCTCTCTCTCTCTCTCTCTCTC